GTTGAAGCTAAATCAAAAGGATGTAATTATTTATTAAAAACTTGATCGTTTTAGAATTATTTTATTATAATTTATTTCAATGTGTGACATAAGAAAATGATCATCACAGTAAAAAATTTATCCTTTCAGTTGTTATGAAAAATCACATGACTACACTCTACCCTTAAATTACCTTAAAATAAATCATACAAAACTTGAACCACCTGATTGGGGAACAAAGATAGTTGTCACTCTGAAAATAATTATTATTTGGAAGAATTCATCTATAGACAAGATTTTAGCAACGATGGTGTAAATCGGATTTAAAGCTATTTTTCTTTTCTATTTAATTGTATATGAAACAAATGTAAATTTGCTAAATGTTCCTAAAAAATATATCGGAAAAAGTAAAACAAATGAGTTAATAATAATCGCATATAGGTAGTAGATAAATAATGTGATTAATTGCTACATACTTTGATTTACTCACCAATCATCCCATTTTTTAATTGCTAATTTTGTGGAAGAAAAAAAAAACAAAACGTGAGTTTTTTTTTCTTAAATATTAAATCCAAAACTTCCATACAAGCCTCAATTAAATTTTGACATTTTGTTTCATCTTCATATTTAAATATACATTCATTCCTAGCTTTTTTTGTGTTAGGACAAACACAGCATGGTCTTACATTGTCATTATTTGAATAGCTGCCGCCACTATTATTATTATTATTGACAATTGTTTTATTATTGTTGTCATCGTCAGAAAGTGAAAAGGCGGTAGTGTCACTTGAAGACATCCTTTTTGGTAATAATGATAATGATAATATTTTATTTTAATAATCATATGATGAACACTTAAAACACTTAAAACACTTAAAAATAAAAAATTTATTATACTGATCACTATCTTAATTAGTCAAGGAATTTCGTTCCCGTGTTTTTTAAAAATAGATATTTGTTACGCAAATTTTAATGGACGGTTTTTCTCGAAAAAAAAAAAAATCGTATAAATAAAAGTGCAATCGTCCTTTTCTTTGACACGAAGTTTCCCAAAAAATTTAATAATATTATTATAAAATAATATATAAAAAAATGTTGTCAAAATCTTTTAAATTCTTAACATTTGCTCTTTTAATTATTACGATTTTATTGAATGTTTTTATCAATGCATCACCAATTCTCTCAGAAAAACGTGCAGTAGTCAAAGTTGCTATTGCAAGATTTGATAACGGCGGTAATGTAAAAGGAGTTTCTGGTGAAGTCCGGTTTGTACAGATTTCAAAAGAAATCACACGTATAACTGGACAATTCAACACTGGTTTTATAAGTGAAAATAAAAATGATTACGAATTCTTCATTGTTAATAATGATGGTAGAGTAATAGTCAATCTTACTGATGAAATTAGAGATCAATTGATTATTAATCGTCCTGGAACCGGACCATTCGAATTTGACAAAAAACTCAAAGTTAGAGATATAGTGAGTTTATTGTTCGCTCAAGACGAGGATGGAGAAGAAATTGGAAGTATGCGAATCAAACCTGAGCCTGAATAATTAATACAATTAATTGCTATTGTTTGTTGGTTTTATGATGATTTTTAATGTATTAATATTATTAGTTCTTCGAATATTAATGCTTTCTTGAGAATTAAATCATGTATTTTCTTTAAAACAATTTGTATTAATATTTTCGAATAAACAGATACATACATGTTTTTAATACTTGGCAGCGGGTTGTGTGTTACCATTTTTAAAGCAATTTACTACAAATAGTGATATAAAACCGTTGGCTTGCTGAGCCGTTTAAAAATTCCTTAGCCGGCTGACATCATTACTACGGTGCAGATCATCTATAATCATTAATTGCTTATATAGTTGGCTCGGTCTAAAGACCTCCTAAGTTTTGCATAAATTTTAAAAGTATAGAAGTCACTTTCTGTCCTA